ATTCTTAGTCAAAAGAAAAACCCAATAAAACACTGATCGTTCAATTTATCCGCCACGACGATTCTGTGCTTTCTTCACTTGATAAACAATAATTTCGACTACAAACATAATCGTCGAAAATCCCAAACACATCAAACAAATTATCAACGAAGCCTTAAGTTGTTCCAAAGTCAACGCACTACGTCCTTCCGTTTTGTTGGTCATCATTTTTTCCAAGCGAATTTTGGATATGAAGTTCGAAAATGATACACACAAAAAATAAGCCTGACAAATTATTTTAGGATTCCTATTAAAATATTAATTTGTAAGGTTTCCTTATAATATTGGAACATTTTATCAGGAAACCTTTAAATAATAAAAATGTTTTGTTTCAACACAGTGAAGTTGGCTTTGACGTTTGGACGCGCCAATTTATTAGGATTCCTGTTAAAATATTGCGATTTTATAAGGAAACCTTACAAATTCATTTTTTAATAGGGATCCTAAAATAATTTGTTGGGTTTTTCTCTTGTGTGTATGTAATAACTGTATAAACCAATTTCTGACATTGAATTTGTGGCCTTGTTAATTTTACGTATTACTCGTTCCGGCATGTATTCATCTGTTCCCAAATAGTATGCATACATTAAATTGCCTGAATTGGAAAATGTGTTGCAAATAAACTAATAAAAGAAAGTATGGGTAAATTTTATACATCATTACCAAAACTTTCTTTCAGCACATCGAAATCTCGTAACCCATTTGTTGAAGCTTTTACATAAGGTAATAAAAATTGGGGCGCCACATATGCGAATGGTTTTTTCTGTTCATGAATTAGGTGTCCAAAAAGATTGATGCCTTCCAAATTGATTTTCGATTGAAGTTTTTTGCTGAAACAAAACAGATTTTTTTTTGAAATTTATCACTATTATTTAATTGTTTCATACGTAGGCGACTATTTAAGTTTCTTCAATATGTATGTTTTAGTATTGCCCGATGCAAACCATTGTCATATTCGTTAAGTTTAACATTTTGTAGCATAAACGTTCTCAGAACGTTTTGTCATTCGATCGTTATTTGTATTGTTTACCGTAACATGTAAATTGCGTCTCAGCCAAAAAATGAATTTTACTCGTGAAAATTTTCGAGCGATTATTTTTTTCCACTTTCGATTGGGTGTATCACAACAACAGTGTTTTGATCAACTTCATTTGCCCTTTGGCGATGAAGTACCAAGTCTTCGGACAATTTATAATTGGTACAACGAATTCAAGCGCGGTCGCCTATCGCTCATCGACGAGTTCCGCGAAGGTCGTCCAAAATCAGTTGTTGTACCAGAAAACATCGATGCTGTCAGAAATATGATAATGGAAGATCGTCATGTAACATATCACGAGATTGAGGCATCCCTGGGCATTAGTGCGACCAGCGTATTTAAGATTTTACATGAACATTTAGCTGTCAGAAAGATTTGCTCTCGTTGGATACCACATAATTTGACAATCGCTCAAAAAAAGGCTCGTGTCGATTGGTGTAAACAAATGCTCAAGAAATTCAATCGTGGTGTTTCAAAATCCGTGTATTTCATCGTCACTGGTGACGAATCATGGATCTACGCGTATGAGCCCGAAACTAAACAGCAGTCGACTGTATGGGTTTTTCAAAGTGAAGATAACCCAACAAAAGTTGTTCGAGCTCGAAGTGTTGCGAAGCAAATGGTCGCCTGTTTTTTCGCGATAAGTGGTCATGTGGCAACAGTTCCACTAGAGGCTCGTAAGACCGTCAATTCTGATTGGTACACCACCATTTGTTTGCCCGAAGTGTTTGATAAAATAAGAAAAAACAACCGCCGTCGCAAAATAATTCTTCATCATGATAATGCGAGCTCTCACACATCTCATCAAACAGTCGATTATTTGACCGGTCAAAAGATCGATTTAATGGGTCATCCGCCGTACAGTCCTGATTTGGCACCCAACGATTTCTTTTTATTCCCGAGCGTGAAGAATAAACTGCGTGGTCAACGATTTTCATCGCCCGAAGAAGCAGTTGATGCGTTCAAAACACACGTTTTGGAGATATCACTTTCGGAGTGGCATGAATGCTATGACAAATGGTTCGAGCGAATGCAAAAGTGTATTGATCATCATGGCGAATATTTTGAAAAACAATAAAACCATTTTCGATGAAACCCCATTGTCTTATATATGTTTTTGAAAAAACTTAAATAGTGACCCTCGTACAACAGACCAAAGCATATCCAAAATGAGTTCTTCTTTTGTCTTGAATGCCGTGCTGAGATAAATGAGTGGTTTCTGTTGTGCCAACTCGTTAAATGTGTCAACGCTTTGGTCCTTGATAAGAAGCGACGGATATAGTACAATTTTCAACCAAAAAGATACCAAAAAGATACCAAAAAGAAACTGCTAAACATTAAAATTCCAAAAAAACATCTCTCAAGTCGATGATTAATTCGTAGATTTCCACCGCCAACAAAAGTAATGCAAGCATCAAGGTACGAAGAAATACAACCATTACGACGAAGACGATACTTTCGGCGTATGTAACAAAGAACAGCACCTGCTGACAAGTAAAATAGGGCGACTGGAATGCCAATGATCACCTCTGGTTCGTTAAAAACTCGATACTTTTCACGCGTTGAATCTATGCCATAAACATAAATCACCACAAGGTCCAGATTATAGTAGGGATATAATGGCATCTTCTTATTCTTTCCATCGAGGGAAGCTGAGTATGCACCCAAATTAACGTGCAAAATTTTTGATTCAACGGTTTTTAATTTTTCCCTAAAATTATGCGTTATCATTAACAAAATTCCTATTCAATCTGATCGAAAACAATATTACATCTCTTCATTTTCAATAGGTTCATATTCCAAAGAAAGTTCCTCGTAAAGTGCGCGATATTTTTGATGAACCATTTGATCAAAAGTGGATGAATGATCTTTGTTGCACAACCTCTTCCGATAATTTATTGCTGACGCTTTCATATTCCAGTAATAAAAATTTCTTATAAATAGGTTTTCATCCCAGGTTTCGTATGATTTTCCCACTTTTTCACTTTGATGACAAAAATGTGGTGAGTAATTTTGTTCATATTTTTCGAATATCAAATCGAACAGATTTCGATTTTTGTTATCGTCGATTTCATTTAATATGAAAACACGTTCCACACTATCATGACTTTGTTCCATAATTTCGATCCGTGATTTATGCATGCAAACGTTTATCGATACACTTATTAAACTGAAATGCAGAATGAGATTGTTGGAATTAACAGTAGCAAATTTTTCAATCATTCCTGATTCATTATTGGATGCAAAGACGAACAATCGATAAAATGTGAAGAATTCTTTGAAATTATCGATGTTATCGGGCCAATTGTCATAGCCAACGAAAATCAATTGAAGAATGTGATCGGTTTGTTCGTCCGGTTTCCATGGTAACCGAAATGGTACACTGGTGACGTCAGTCGAGAACCATGGAATGGAACGCGGGCAATTCGACTGAATGTCGGTGATCAATTGAGCGACTTGAAAGGCATTCGGATCGTAGAGAATGTGACCAGTTCGAAATTGGCCGTCGATGAACAAATGGCAAATGAAAAGTGCGAAATTATGAAAATTCGACATATTTTGAGTCAAAATAGACAAAGTCATTGTGATTTGATAGTTTAGAACAGTGATGGTTTTTTCCTATCTGAATAGCGCTAGCTATTCGCAGCGCCTGTACAGCATTGCTGCCCAGATGCTGAATCGTAGCGGTTGCAGCACGCGCAACACACTTCGTTTGTACCACACAGAGCATATACGTTCGCGTTCTTTCTCTGTTCGACATGCGTTTGTATAATGACTATGGTATTAGTGTATCATACTCTGTTAGCTCACTGGTTACTTAGACTATATGACAATATGTTGTGTGGTACAAAACGCGTGCGGCAACCGCTTCGATTCAGCATCTGGGCAGCAATGCTGTTCAGACGCTGCGAATAGCTAGCGCTATTCAGATAGGAAAAAACCATCACTGGTTTAGAATGAACTGTTACTTATTCGGTTATTTTTCTATTGTGCAATGTAAGAAAACAATGTTTCGTGTCTGCTTTATTATGAAAGCATGTTTTTAAATTACTTTGTTATATTTGCACTACGTCGTATCTGCTTTTTAAATCGCACCTGGAACAAATGCAACGTGGGTTTATTAATTGTCCTCGATAAAAAGAAATCGATAAAAAAATTACTTAATATTCACCAGTAACGAGGACGATTTGACAAGGAAGGGAATTTTTCCCTTTATTTCATTTGGAAATCACTTCAATGAAAATCCCATTGACAGCTATCAATTTTGAGATTGCAAGATGCTAATATTTTTCATGTACACATCGAACTGAATCAAACAAGGAATTTTCAAAATGTCTATTAAAAAAGAAAAAAAATAATAATTGGACAACGTGTTCATTTCCATTGTGATTTTTTAATTATCCTGCTTATTCAGATTCCCCATAAAATCAAAATAATTTCACCCATATGGGACAAAGTTAAAGAGGTCTTCACTTTTTGAATCAAAAACTCTAGCAAATTCGAAAAATTTCCGTGAAAAAATTATCTGATCTAAATCCTAGTGGAAGAAAAAAAACCTCAAGTTATATTTTTGATGATCGTTGTCTATATTCGAAATGTCAAATTCACATTTTTACGAATTTGTTGCTTAGTTTATCATTTATTTGAAACATGAAACGCAATAAAAGGTGTTCTCAATTTGACATAAAATTGAATTAAAAAAAAAATATTATTTAATTGCGCAATACATTGAGTTTATTGCTAACGTCATTCACCGGCGTAACATCACGGGGTCTAAGGTCATTCGACCTGATAAAAGTATTCGAGTTATTAACGGCGAGTTATTTGTATGGTCCGTAAAAACACTTCCATACGTGCACATTTGTGACCTCCTTTTCAAATGCACAATTTCGAAAATAATTTAAAGGTGAAAAAAGCAAACGAATTTTTGAAAAATGTCTTTATTTAGTAGAAAAGTGTTCATATGAAATTAGACATATTGATTTGGAACAGCTTTATTCGATCTAAATTGTGTTAAACTTTGCAATTTTTCCTTCAAATATTGTCTCCCAAAATCTTCATTTTTAATTAAATTCATTTGCCGTCTATAATAGTAGTAAATGAGTGCAAATGCCAGAACACTGACAATTCCGCCGATTGCTACCAAAATAAATGCAAAATCAGGTGCTAACCATTGTTCATTCATTTCTAGAATTTCATTTTTTTCCTCGTCCTCGTACCCGATGTCGTTGGTATTGGGAGATGGCGTGATGGTATCGGGAGATGCCTGAAAAGAGTTAATAAAACAACAACGAAAATGTTGAAATTCAAGAAAATTTGCTAAAAGTCATACTTACTTCACGGAAAAAGATCCAGATATCAATTCTATTAGCTGTAATATTTGTGGCGGCGATTATTTCTTCCGAACTGCTAGATGACTTCAGCTCAGTAGAATCAAGCTCAGTAGAATTTACTGTATGCCAAACTATAAACAAGAAAAATGCCACAATAAACTTCATTTTACAAAAAACAAACACCAAAATGTTTGAAAACGTTGAGTCGCTTTATTTTTAAGACTGACACTTGCTTTCTTACAGTCGGTGTATATGTATGCGACCATTGAAATTTCGTTCAGATAATCAGAAAACTTTAACAATCTCGTTCAGAATACATACAGATAAACACATCGCATCTAGGGGATAGACACGAACTTTTTCTTTTTACTTTTTCTTTATGGAGAAATTCATCCATACAAAATACATAAAGACGGTGCATTTTTTTAAACGAAATATTTGTTATGAACAAGAAAGCATTAAGACTAAAAATCATAGCTGGGCAGACTGAAAAATTCAGGGGTGGGATGGGGAAGGTATAATGACTTTTCAAAAATTATGAGGGGATAAATATAGCTCTTAGTGTAAAAATAAGAAGTTTTTTATTTCATCCGGATCAAAATTTATGACCGAGGGGAGAATTGTCCTTCAAAATCCCTTGTAAATTGGTCGATTTTTCTCGTTAACCGTAGCAAATCAAAAGAATTTTCCCAAAACTCCATTCTGTCTAGTGCAAACACCTTCTCGGAAAGAGTAAATTCGTAAAGGGGTAATTGAAATTTCGTCTAATTTTTAAAGGGGTATTGCCAAAATTTGATGCCTCAGAGAGGGATAATTCCCCCC